CTAACTGAAAGGTTGGCAGTTCAAACCCATCCAGAGGCTTGGAAGACAGGCCTGTGATCATCTTCCAAAAGCTCACAGCTGTAAAAACTATGGAATGCAGTTCCATTCTGCACACGTGGGGTCACCATAACTTGGAATCAGTTCTGTGACAACCGGTTTGGTGCTTCTATTGACCTTACCAGTCTTGGAGACCATTTCCTCTCACATTCCAATGAGATAGACCCAGATCTATGGTCCAAGATGGGCCTTTGAGCTGATTGCCATGTTCTATTGAGTAGCCTCAGTGCCCTGCTTGGAGGTTAAGCCTGACAATATTAACCTAGACCTCAATTAGTAGCAGATTCCCCAGAAGCAGAGAGTTATTACTATGGAAAATTAAAAGCTGTGAATTGTGTGTGTGCGTGTGTGTGTGTGTGTGCCTGTGGTTGTTGCTGTTATATTGTTTGTTTTATTTGAGCCCTTGAGACCTAAGGCTCAGACATGTCATAAAGGCATCCACTGAGCCCCAAACATACCCTATGTTCTAAGTTTATATGAGGGAAATCAGTTTGTAACTAGAGAAGGGTATCAGAAAGCAATATTTAATTAAATTGATCAGGTACAATGAGTGGAGGTTTATTTAATAAATATTGAAAGACTCACTCAATGAATAAATTTATGATATGACTGAAACTGGCAAAATTATAAAAACAAAATTTCCTGTTGAAGAAGTAACAAATAGTATTCATTACTGGGAGAAAGAAATGTTACCTCCCTCAGAGGATTTAGATATTTCAGTGACATTTTTTAGCATCTACAACCCTATTAAGCCCTGTTATTTTCTTCCTAATTTGTGCCATTTAGAAATGATTTTCATTTAATTTTCCTATGGCTCATTTCTCTCCTTCGGAACATTTTCATATGATTCTCTGTCAAAGTCCGTGCTTTAACACATTTCCATTATAAAACTATCATAAGCACCAACTAAATAGCAATGTGAAATAACAGAATATAAAGGACTGACAGGAGATGAAGTTGGGCACCTGGGCAGTTAATTTTTATCCTTGAATAGTCTGCTGCCTTTTTGCCTTTTGTGGGTGTTTTTGATCCTGTAGGTAAGAATCCTTGCCTGGTGGACAAGGGTTTTAAGGAGGTGATTCTCACAATTCTGAAGGGAGGACAGCCTTTCCTTCCCATAACACAATAATCACACAGCACTTCTGGAGGGTACAGTGATTTTTATTCTACACTGAAGCCTCATAATGCAAAGAAAAGGTGTTCATTTTTATTTCCTTTTTTTTGTCCTTTGTGCTTTGTAAAGTGCCCCTTACACGTTCTATTAAGTGGACCTCTTCTCTCTAGAGAATTAAATGAAGGCCATTTAGCAACCTGGATCCTTCAAAAATTAGTTTCAATTCAATTCAACAAATACTTCCTGAGCACCACCAGTCCCCAGTGTCTTGTGAAATACAGACATCCTGAAGCATTGTCCCTGCCTGCCTAATACAAGCTTGTGTCTGTCTTGCTTTGAAAGGGACACATACACACCATTGGTCCAAATCCGACTTTGGTAGAGCTGGAAGCATATTTAGGTGTCGAGAGTGCAAAGTGTGTTCCCTGAGCATATTCTCTCAGTATTTTTTAAGGTACAAAGTAGATATGTGGTAATTAAGACTTTAGTGAGAAAAAGAGCTGAAGTAATGTAAGAGAAGACACTTAGAAAAGAAGTGAAAGTGAAGACTTTTAGAATATGTTTGCTCTTCAGCAACCCAGTGCAGCTGGGACTGCTGCCCATGAGTGCCCTAGCCCCAGGCATGTGCATCCTGATATTATAATTGTACTGCTTCAAACTGGGACAGTGTCTCTGAGTGCCAAAGAAATGCCAGCAGGGATCATATGAAAAGTTTTGTGAAGATGATTGAAATCACATGGGCTTTGAAGGATAGGTAGGAAATTGTCAACTAGCAGGAATGGCATGAATGAATGCAAGATGGCAGACACATCTGGGGAAAATGTCAAATAATTCCAAGTGACTGGAGAGTCTTCTGTAAGAGTTGTTCTTTTTCATACCATTAATCAAGACTTTTTCACACCACTAATTAACATCATCCTACATAATCTAGCTGCCTATTGGCCACTAGCTTATTATTGAGGTCTACTACTCTGCTAAAAGAGCTCTGGTAGCATAGTGCCTAAGGCACTTGACTGCTAACCAGAAGGCTGGCGGTTCAAACCCACCAGCCACTCCTCGGGAGGAAGGTTGAGCAATCCTACTTCCGTAGTGATACTGCCTCGGAAACCCAAGGAGGGGTTGCTATGAGTCGGGGCCGAATCGACGGCAAATAACAACAACAACAACAACTCTGCTAAAGGAGCTCTGGTGGTGTAGTGCCTAAGGCAGTAGACTGCTATCCAGAAGGTTGGAAGTTCAAACCCACCAGCCACTCTGCAGAAGGAAGACTAGGTAATCTACTGCCGTAAAGAATTACTGCCTTGGAAACCCAAAGGGGGTCTCTATGAGTCAGAATCTACTCAATGTCAGTGAGTTTGCTTTTTTTTTTTTTGGTTGTTGTTTGTTTGTTTGTTTTTGTTTTTTTGACTACTTTGCTATAGATGTAGATTGAAATCATGTGGGAAAAAGTAGTTGGTCAAATGTCTGTATCAAAGGTAAATAGAATTAAACAGCATTTTTATTTCCCATCTGACCTCAGGGCTTTTTAAGGAAGGGAGGGAGGGAAAAGGAAAGAGGGAGGGTGAGGAAGAAGAATGTTAGTTCTGGTTAGTATTGATATTATTGTTAGCTGGCATGAAGTCAGCTTTGACTTATGGAAACACCATGTGCAACACAATGAAACACTGCGCAGTTCTGTGCCATCTTTATGATTGTTGGCATGCTCAAGTCTATTGTTGCTGCCACCATGTATTCTGAGTGACCTCTAGCCTAGACTCTTCATCCTCTAGCACTGTATTGAGCAATATTCTGTTATGAGCCACAGTGTTTCATTGGCTAGTTCCAGACGTTGACCACCAGACTTTTCTTCCTAGTCTGTCTTAATCTGGAAAGTCTCCTGAAATTTGTCCATCACAGTGACCCTGCTGGTATTTGAAATACTGGTGGCATTCTCCCAGCATCACAGCAACACACAGCTACCCTGGTACAACAAACTAAAAAATAGATCCATCCCAGAGGGTTTATGCCATCCATTTGCTGTCAGTTTTGTGCACGAGGTGTGAGAAAATAATTTTTTAAATAAAACTTCTCACCCATTCCCATACTTATGCAATGTGAATTGGTAGATACACCTTCTTGTGTACCATTTGAAGGCCCAAATGATTTGTTTAAATCTCCTGATGGAGTTTGAAGAGTTCATATAATGAACTCAAAAACTGAATGAACGCTTCATTTCCATGGTGAAGTTTAGTCAGCTAAATCCTCAGCTCAGTTTCCTAGTATCTGTTCAGTTGGAGGTCACATCTTTTCATTTTTATAGATTGTTCTCTTACTTTTAGAATCTTGTAAGTTTTCTGGGCAGACTTTTCTCTATTACAAGTTATTCTAATGTAGGCACTGGCTTCTGACCCTTTCATTCCATTCTTGTCAGCATTCCCAGCATGAAATGTGGTTCTTTTGTTATTTAATTCCTTGCATTCCTCACACCCATTTCCACTTCTGTGTTCCCATCTCCTTTCATTTTGCCCTCACATATTTTTCACTTTGTGGTTCCTCTTGTCCTTGTGCGCAGTACATGAGACAGCCAGATAGAAGTCCACAGTTAAAAACAGTTTCTGGCATTGTTTTTGATTCTTAAAATGTAGTCTCACAAATAACTTTTCTCATTTAATTTCCTCCTAACATGATGACAGTGCTCCAATTTTGTTTTCTGATTATCCCATAACATAGGGCTTTCCCTTGCATTGAGTAGAAACTTGCAGGTAATATTGCTATTTGGATAGCACTACCTAGTCATCATTTACAATTTTATGTAATTGGAAATCCAAAAGGGAAAAGGATTGGGACTTAAATTCCTTTTTTTTTTTTTTTTTAAGCATCTATTGATTAATTGAACCACTATTCATCAGCATGCCTGTAATAGAGCCATACTGGTGATCTGCAGCAGCGTATCAGACAATGGAACAGTGTTCTTTTTCTTATAGAGGGAGAGAGCTGTGCTTCAAATTGAGGAGTAATGCATTTTAAATGCAGACTCATAAAAGCAAACAAACTCTATTGACTACCCATTGAGATACAAGTTCAGGAAAAAAGAATTCCACCAACAAACGCATGTGAAGTACCCTAACAGTTCATTTACTGAACTCATTTTTTAGACACTAGATACCAGAGCTCCTTTTCAAAATATAAAATGGTAAGTATTCATAGTTAGTAATGCTACACAGCCACTATCAGTTTAGCAGTCTTTGTCTCATATGTGTATGTTTAGCTACGCTCTGAAAACATCCTACAAGTAGCTAAATTCATATGAAGCCACAATGCCCAAGAGGCTAAATGATTGCCTTTTGGCATTGCTCATTTGGGGGCACAAAAAGGAATTTCTGGTGCAAATAACACTACTTTTCTTATGCATTGTAAGAATCTCTTATATTTAAGATTAAATTTTCCTTATATATATTTGTTTCAGTTGACATCTTAAAGTACATCTGAGAATACAGTATACCATATAATTGAGAGCTGGACCATCTAATAGATGCTGTGTGGGCTCTTTGAGGAAATGAAATGATAATGGAATTCCTATTCTCCATGCTAGGAAATGACTGTCCTTTGTTCTCTTTTGTGAAAGCATCCCATCATATTTCAGTTGATTTCCCCTGTATGCTTCAATAGGCAAGTCAGTAAATTCAGAAAAGCCAAATATATCTTGTTTTTTGAGAATGTAATTTGGAAGTTTGGGTCTGAGTATAGTTCCTCTGGTTATGTTTGGCAGGCATTACTAGAAGATAGGCTTTATTTCTGTAAGTTGGATAGTGCCATATATTTTTTTTTTTCCCCTTCCTGTTCTTGACAGGTGCATGAGGCAGTCCCATGCTACAATGAATGCAATCAGTATTCCTGGGTGGTAGAACACTGGTCTCCATGCAAAATCAACAATGAGCTGAGGTCCTTGCGATGTGGAGAAGGAATGCAATCTAGGAAAATCAGGTGTGTGCAAATGGTGGCATGTGGGAAATGGGGACCGTAGAACTTAGATATATTAATATAGTATAGATATAGATATAGATATTAATATAAATATGTAGATTAATAAAAATAGCAGTGTTGCTTATTTAAGTGCACTCTGATTTTCACAGCATACAGTCTGGTTTTTACTCATCTCTGGAGTATCCATGGAAGTATATGTGCCCTGACCTGCCAGTCTTTACAATGACATTCCCTGTGCAAGGCAGCCACATTCCTCATCATTCCTTCTACAGTGGGAGACTCAACTGCAGGGAGCAGGCTGGGACCCTTCCACTGGTTCACCACCATCGCTGTTAACAAATTTAGAGCTATTGCATGGGCTACCATTTCCCTCTTTTTTTTTTTTTTTTGCATGGTGATTAGTATAGTTAGCTTAATTTTGGATGTCAATACATTGAAAATGTCATTATTAAGCCCTATATTTAACCTTGGAAACAAAGTCTGGCAATACATTTTAATAGCCAAAGAGCACATCTTAAGAAATTTAACAAAATATTGGGTTATTTCCTGAGGGAGCCTATTTAAAGTTTCTGTTTTGTAAACACAGCCTTCATAGCCAAAAGAAACACTTGGCCTGAATTTATCAAAACTGTCTATTTAGAAATGATTCAGGAATAAAGAAGAATAATTCTCTAACCAATTTAGCCTTGTGGAATAGACATTGCAGGCTGAACAAACAAAAGAATAAAATATTAATGATAATGTTTAGAATGTAAAATAAAGAAGAAAGATAGCATAGTCAACTGTACAACAGCATGAGCCTAGTGTATCATTTTGTCTGATTTAGGACACTCCCTTTCAAATCAATAGTCAGTGTCCAAATCATATAGCTCCCCATTGAGTTAACCATTAAATTGAAGCCAGTTGCGAAGGCTGAGCCTGCTTATCTGTGTTGCTCATTATACAACATCAGTGAACTTCCTTCATTCAGTATATATCTACCAGTTATGACACTCAGTCTCAATGTCACAAAATCACCACTAGGCATGCTAAATGAAAAAGCTGCTGAAAGTTATTAAAGTGTTTCTTGTCACTGACCTGAACAAATGACTAGTAAACAAATTATGTTTCTTTCTTTTTATTAACTGCTGTTTTTCTTAGGAACTAGTATGCTCAGGCTAAGGCAAACTTTGGGTTTTACCTTTTTCTCCTCAAAACCTTGGTGTCCTCTGTTTTATACCCTCATGTTGTGTTGTTGTTGTTATGTGCTGTAGAGTTGGACCCAACTCATAGTGACCCCTCCTTGGGTTTCCAAGGCAGTATGACTACAGACATAGATTGCCCCATCTTCCTTCTAAGGAGTGGTTTGTGGGTTTGACCTGCCAGCCTTCTAGTTAGCAGTCAAGTGCCTTAGGCACTATGCTACCAGAGCCCTCATGGCTTTGAAAAATGACTGACCAATCTAGTTTATGAAGTAATATGTAAATGAGCTGTGACACATCACACTCTTATCACAGACAATCCTCTTAGCAATATGAAAGGAAAACCTCACAAAAGAAACAAAAGCATTAAGAAATAAATTGCTAGACAGAATTGTTGCAGATTCATTGAGGAAAACACAGTTAAACACAGCCATATCTCTCAGCTCAAACCTATGCAGCCTGACTGGATAAAATAATAATAATAATAATAATACAACTACCAAATGCTAGTCCATGTGTTAAATATTTTAGGTACATGAGCACATTTAAGTATATGGAACAGATCTTTCAGACTTCCTGCATTCCAAACTGTTACTGATTTTACTAGCAGCCTATGTTTTAATGAATGACACAGCTTGTTTTTTCTTTGTCTTAACCTACAAGCTAGGAGGGATTTTTATGGTTCCCTATGACTACAATGATTTATTGACTCAAAAAAATATTTGTGAATATTTACCTTCTACATATCAAACAAGGATAAAACAATGGGCGCGCGCGAGCACACACACACACACACACACAAAAGTTCTGTTCTCAAAGAACTTAAATGTAGCCTCAGAGAAAAAGGATAAGTTAATTAACATATAATGGAATGTCTCTACTGTGAAATGCCAAGAGAAAAAAATAGAATTGACTTGGACTGATGGAGAATGCTATTTTGAGAGGTTAGTCAGCAAAATAACATTTGTGCATAGAGTTGAAAGAAATAAGAGACCAGAATGAATGTGAAAATCTGTAAAAAGGGAACTCCAGAAGAGAGTATACGAAGTAGAAAATTTATTGGCTTGTTGGAATAACACCAAGATGGCCCATATGGCTTGTGCCAGGACCCAAATTGTGTAGAGTCTTCTCAGGTAAAACCTTTGGATATTATTTTAACTGCAACTTGGAGGAAAATTTGAGACTGGGGGACAACCTGTTTTCACTTATATTTGAAAAGAACCTCAATAGATGTGCTGCACAGAAGAAACTCTGGGGTGTGAGAAGGTCATATTTGGGGTATATTTTGAAGATCAAGAACATAGGATTTTCTGATAAAGGGATTGTGTAAGAAAAAGAAGTGTCAGAGGTGACCCCTTTATTTTTGCCCTGGGCAACCATAGGAATGGTGATGAATTTGTTGACATGCAATATTAGAAGCAGATTTGAGAGAGAAAATTTTTTAATTTCATTTTGAACACATTAAGTTTGAGATAATATTAGCCTTTCTTCAACTAAGATATTGCTGTCTGGAGTTCAAGGGAGAGGCTGAGAGTGGGGATATGTATTTAGACAATATTTGCATATAAATTTGGTATAGATCCATAAGAGAAGAGGTTGATCCCTGAGGTTGTTGCAATGTCAGAGCAAAGAGAATGATCCTATGAATGGGACTGAGAACGGAGAGCCAATGAGGTAGGAAGAAACCCTCCAAGGAAAGTGGGAAGTTAAAAAAGAAAGATTTTCAAGAAGAGGATAACCATTGTTTCAAGTGTTTCTGAGAAAGTTTACTAAATTGAAATCTGAGAATTGACCCCTGGATTTGACAAAGTGGAGTCTGTTGATGACCCTGACAAGAGGTTTCTTTGATATGGCATTAGTAAAGTTAGTTCAAGAGATAGACAGTGAGAAGAAAGTGGATCAACAAATCCAGACAATGTTTCAGAGCAGTTTTGCAATGAATTTGAGTAGAAATGTGATGAAACTAAAGGACAATAGGCCAAGGGAAAGCATAATGCTAGGTGTGTAGGGGATAGCCACAGGAGTATTGTCATTTGAGAACTCCCCTTAATTTCAATTTTTTTGTCTTTAGTCATGGGTTTGTCATAATCCCCAGAGTAACCTCTTCCTAAATTGTGCCTGAAGTAGAGTATCTTAGCCTCCAGTATTCTTGGAACACGTTGAAGAAGAGGCTGTTGTGGTAGGCAGAAAAATAGTGCTTAAAGATGTCCACTGCTACCTTACATGGCAAAAAAAGGACTTTGTGGGCATGAATAAATTGAGGATCGTGAGTAGAGGAGTTTGTCCTGGAATATCCAGGTGGGCTAAAGTAATCACAGGTGTCCTCAAAAATAGAAAGTGAGATGGACAGAGTTAGTCAGAGGAAGATGCGACCATGGAAGAAAGGCACAGAGAGATGTAGCACTGCTTGAAGCAAGCCAGAAGAAAGGAATATGGGTAGTATCTCGAAGCTGGAAAAGTAAAGAAATAGATATTTTTCTAGATCTTCAGGTGGTGATAGGGATACATTTCTTCTGAAGATCTTCCATAGTCACATCTTCCTCTCTAAATGAAACCCATGTTGGATTTCTGTCATACATAACTGTAAGAGAATATATTCTCATTGTTTAAACCACTAAGTGTGTTGTTATTTGTTATAGCATCAATAATAAAAAAAAAAAACTAATGCAGCTTAGTTTTAAGCTAGGGTGGATGTCTAAATTCTCTGTGTGTAAACTTGTAACTAAGCCTTTGTTTTCAATATGCTTCCTATATCCTGTACTATGTATTCCGTAGCCCCAAAACATTTTTTGTGATCCTCTACAGATAATAAATCTTCAATAATCTTCAGAGTTTATCAATATAAATACAAAGCAATGCACAATTTATAGGGGATCAGTTTGATGAGTTTTCACAATGTGAAGACACCTGTGTACCCTATGCAGAATTCAAGAAACAAAATTTTACCAGCACTACCTAAACACCTATCAGTCACTAACATTCCTGTAGGAGTAGCCAGTATTCTGACTTATAGCACAATAGATTAATATTGTCCATTGCCTTGGACATTTGACTGCTAACCAGAAGGTTGGTGGTTCAAACCCACCAGCTACTCTGAGGAAGGAAGACTAGGCAATCTACTTCCATAAAGATTTACTACATCAGAAACCCAAGGGGGGTGCTATGAGTCAGAATCGACTTGACGGCAGTGGTTTTTTTTTTTTTGTCTTTAAACTTTGTATGATTTTTTTTTTTTTAGTGTTTGTTCAGTGTTACATTTGTGAGCTTTATCCATATTTTTTTCATTCAATAGCAGCTCATGCCTTCTCATCACCATATAGTACTTTATTGGATGGATTTTCCACAGTATTTTTTTCCATTCCACTCTCATTATACATTTTGCTGCTTTCTAGTTTGGTTGATTATGGATATTAGCTGCTATGAACATTTTCAGTTGGGTTTTGAGGGTACATGTTTGTACAGTTTTTGCATATGTGAATAGAAGTGTAATTGTTGGGTTACATAGTATATATGTCTAGCTTTAGTGGATAAATACCAAACAATTTTTTAAACAATCTATGTTGTTACCAGCAAAGTCAAAGAGTCACAGTTGCTCCCCATCCTTGTCAACCCTTGGTATTTTTCCATGCTTTTTATTTAAATAATTCTGGGAAAAAAAAAAAAAAAAAAAACCTCACTGCTGTAGACTCGGTCCTGACTCATAGTGCCCCCTCCTTGGGTTTCCGAGACAGTATCTCTACTGAAGTAGATTGCCCAACCTTTCTTTCGAGGAGTGGCTGGTGGGTTTGAACCACCAGTCTTCTGGTTAGCGGTCAAATGCCTTAGGCACTACACCACCAGAGCTCCCTGGAAACCCTATAGAGCAGTTCTATTATGTCCTATGGGGTCACTATGAGTCAGAATTGACTTCATGAAAGTTGGTTTGCATTTGGCCAAAGATTAAAATTTTCTTTCCCGGTTGCTGTACTAAGGAGCTTCAGTGATACAGTGGTTAAGGCATTCTACTGCTAACTAAAAGTGGTTCAAAACCAAAAGCTGCTCTTTGGGAGAAAGCTGAAACAGTTTGCTTCTATAAAGATTTACAACCTTGGGAACCTTCTAGAGCAGTTCTACTCTCTTCTATAGGCTCACTAGGAATTGGAGTCAACTTGATGGCAGTGGGTTTGGTTTGTTCCTCTTTTTCTTTTCTTTTTTTTTTGGTTTCTCAACTATCCTTATTTTATGTTTAATTTTCATTGAAGTAAAGTAATTATGATACAATACAACTACTTCCAATTCACTTTCCATGGTTTTAAATAATCAACTTATGTTTTAATCTTGCCTTTCAGGTGTGCTAATACTGCTGATATCGAAGGTAGGACAGTGGACAATACCCTGTGCAACCAGGATGAAATTCCCCCAGAAACCCAGTCCTGTTCTCTACTGTGCCCCAATGAATGTGTTATGTCTAACTGGGGACCATGGAGCAAATGTCCACAGGTAATTTATCTTCCCTGATACTCTGGGACTGCCTTTGCTATTTATTCTCTATATACTTACAGTGCTGCTCTCCAAAGCATTTTTCTAGTAGCACAGGTAAATAATTTTTCCTGAGGAAGCAAAAATAAGATTTTAACAAGAGATACTGAAAATTTAAAATATCAATGCTTCTTTCAAGGCATTTACCTTGCAACATGAACAAAGAAAATGAGATTGTAATGATCATGCTATAGGATTTTACTGCATATCCATTGTTATAGGTTCATTTTTAGCACCAAAATGATTCTTATTATAATCTCCTGGTCCTGTTCTATTTTTATTCATGGAGAATCAATTATACCTTACTAGCTCAATTCCACTGTATAATTTAGCTTCTGTTAGTGTTGATCTGTTTCACATTTTGCTGTTTTCCTAAAGATGAAGTATTCTACCACCATGTTTCTACCTCTTCCAAAGCTGAAAAAAATCCTCTTCTAAGTCTAAACCATTTACTTTTTTTTTCTTTTTTTTTTTAAATAGAAACAAAATGGGAGTGTGACAAAATAAATATTCTTTAAGAAGCATAGTTCACCTTCATATTCTTAGAAGACAAATTCTTGTATTTTTAACTTATAATTCTACCTAAGGATTGAAAAAAGAAAACAAGGAAAAGGAGCTTATTATATAAGCCCTCCAATTGGGAAGGGCGAATTTGCTAGGATGTTTTGAATTCAGCTGTCATGTTCATGAATTGTGGAAGCAAACAAACAAACCCTCTGCCATGGAGTCAACCCCAACTCATGGCAACCCCCATGCTACAGAGTAGAAATGCACCATGTAGTTTAATTGGCTATACTCTTTGTAGAAGCAGATCACCAGCACTTTCCTTTCTGGCACTACAAGGTATGTTCAAACCTCTAACCTATAGGTTAGTAGTTGAATGTAAATTCTTTGTTCCACCCAGGGACCTCAAATCGTGAAAACACTATGGTAAATCTTTCTGTGGAAATGGAAAATGTGTTTGAAATCAATTAATAATTTATTATTGATTCCTTATTAATTTTTGCAACCTATCTGATATTTCCATTATTCTAAACCTGAGAAAGATTTTCCTCTGCTATTATTTCATTGTTTATTTATGTATTTTCACATATTGAGTTCTTTGGCGGTAGAACAACACAATATAAAGATGAAGAGGCACCAATAAAGAATAATTTGTGAGAGTGGAATGTTTTTTTCTACTATGTTATTTATTTTGCATGAACAAGAATATAATGAAAATTAACCTTGTTGAGCACTTATTTTGTGCCAGGCACATTCAAGAATTATTCCATTTAGTCCTTACACAAATCCTACTGTCACCAAAGCTACTGCCATCAAGTCAATTCCAACTCATAGAGACCCCCATAGGGTTTCTAAGGCTATAAATCTTTACAGAAGCAGCCTGCCTCATCTTTCTTCCATGGAGTTTGAGCCACCAACCTTTTGGTTAGCAGACAAATGCTTTAACCACTATATCACCTGAGCTCCTTACCAATCCTACTATAAAGGTACTATTTATTAGTTTCATTTTTCAGATGAGGAAACTGCTTTTTAGAAACACTAAGAAGTTTGAACAAAGTTCTGCACTTAGTAAGTTGTGGAGCTGAGGAGGAAAAAAAGAAAAAAAAAAAAACTTAATATTTTTGCTTTTTGATGAAGCCAAAGATTTCACTTTTAAATATGTTGCTCATTGCTTAGAAAAGTTGGACCTTCTCTTTCTTTAAAATGGAATATTTGTTTTAAAAACAAAACAAGTTTTTTGTGTGTGTGTGTGTGTGGCTGTGTGGATGATTGCTTCATAATTGAGTAAATATATTCATACTTTAAAAAGTATGTTAGTATGCACTCTTTATTAATCAACCTGAAGAAGAATTAGCAACTTGCAGAAGTTTAATTAAACTTAGAGGTGATAATCTCTCTCACTTCTTTTCTTACTTGCACTCAGAAGACTCTATTAAGTTCTAATCACTTTCCAATGAAAATATTGCCCTCTTAAGTCAAGATGTCTAGCTAGTAAGCTAAAATTTTTGTTGTAGGAGCATTTTACACAACAAGATGATGGCCTGTCACACCACATTTGCTTTTTTGATTTCTAAGTGGCTGGAGTTTTGTTGTGTTGTTGTTGTTTTGTTTTTTATTGAAGGTTTATTTTTCAAGCATAATCAATTTATTTTTGGAGTATTTGGAAGTTAGAAATAGAGACAGTATTTTGACCTCCTTTCATGAGTCTGAGGAGTTCTAGTGGTATAGTGGTTAAGATACTTGGCTGATAACCAAATGGTTGGTGGTTCAAACCCACTAGCTGCTGCATGGAAAAAAGATAAATCGGTAAGAATTTACAGCCTTGGGAACACAATGGAGCTCACTGTGATTGGGAATCGACTTGATGGCAGTGAATTCAGTTTGGTTTGGTTTCCATACGTCTGGTCTGATAGAGACTAGTGGAACCATTAGTCACCTTTCAAGCTTGGAACTGAACTCATGTGTGAGGCTCAACTTTCAGCCAAGCAATAAATAGGCCCATGGGGTGGACAATAGCACTAGAGGGGTACATATTCCTTAAAACAACTGGCCACACAAGATCAAAAGAACAGCTTTTGCCCAGGGATAGTGTTCAGAAGGTAGAAAGGGATAGGAAAGAAGGATGAATGGAAACAGTAAACACAGAGAGGAAATGAGAAGAGTGCTGTTACATTGTGGGGATTGAAATCCATGTCAAGAAACAAAATGTGGATGGTTTCACTGGAGAATTCTATAAAACATTCAGAGAAGAAGTAATACCAATCCTACTCAAAGTATTCCAAAACATAGAAAAGGATGGAATC